AGGTCTTGATTTATGTAAGAACCTTATTCAGCATTGCTTATGTTTCAGTTTTACCCCTGTAGGACACACCAAAATATGCAATCTTTTTTTGGTGGGAAGAGAGATTGTCCTGTGACTTCTGTCTGTTTCCTGAGGCCTGTGGAAATAAACCTTTATGTACTTAAAAGTTATACAGAAAATAGAATAAAGTTAATACCAAACTTAAAAAAAAATAAATAAATAAAAGAAAAAGAAAAAAAAAAAAACAACTTCTGACATTGCCAGACCTAAGGATAGCCCACTATTATTATGGAATACTGGACTATATTGGATTATTTTGCTGAATTCACCCACCTACAATATTTAAATGGCAATGGAATACCCATCTCTGACAAAATGAAACCAAGAAAGGTGATACAAACAAAGGACCATTTTGTATCTGTATATTCAAAATAGTTAGGATAGATATACAGCTACTTTCTCTTAATTCAGTAAGAAGAAAGATTTGTACTAATAGTGTTTGGACAGGATATCATGTCTGCATCTTGTACTATGAATAACTACTACAAAGACAGCAATATGCAATGTACTAATTATTGTAACTGTCCTACTAACCTGTTTTGAAACTGTGTCATTGCTATTTGTTTCTCAATAAAATTAATAATAATTTTTTAAAAAGCCCCTGTGGCAGATGTGCTTTGGCTTCAACCCACTGCCCTGCACATGCAGGAGGAAAGGTTTATTTTGGCTCACAGCTTGTAGAGGTTTCAGGCCACAGTCAACTGGCTCCAAGGCAGGCAGCATGATAGAAGAGGGTTGCTCTTGGAAGGGCAGCAGGAAGCAGAGATCGAAGTACAGATGAGAGGAGGGAGACAGACCATCAGACCACACCCCCAGTCCCCTCCCTAGCCAGGCTTCACCTCCCAATTCACATTTAGCTGCAAACTTATTAGTGGACTAAGCTACAGATGAGTATCACACCTCCATGATTGAGTCACCTCCCTAAAAAATAAAAGCAAAAACAAAAAACCTCCAGTGCCTGAGGCTTTGTGGGGAGACATCTAGATATAAGTATTACAATGCACAGAGCAGGATGATGGGAAAGTGGATAGGGAAGACAGAGGATGTAGATGGCCCTCGCCAGACACTGAATGTTGAAGGGATGATTGATGGGCGGGAGAGTAGGAGAGCAAGGATGCTTGAGTGCAGACCAGTGCGATTGGCGTGGTGTAGGCCAGAAAGGCTGGCTAATGGCATTTCCACAGGTGCTGTATGTCTGTCTTAGAGGCAGCCTTGTCAGGGGGAGCCCAACCTAGCAGCAGCTTAAGGGCTGGAGGATTGTTTCATAGGAAGAGCCAAGGGAAGTAGTACAGGCTTTGAGGGTTGTTGTGTACAAGCTTCTCCTAGGCCTATCATCTTTCTAGCTTTTTCTTTTTTGCTGCTGCTAGGGATTGAACCTAAGGCCTCTTTATACTGCTACAGATTTGCTCTCCTGGCCCCTTTTTCTATTCATTCATTCATTCATTCATTCATTCATTCATTTGTGGTGCTGTGAATTAAGCCCAGGGCCTTGTGAATGCTAGGCAGGCTAGAACTCATCCCCAGCCTTTCTTTTTTTTTTTTTTTTTAATTTTTATTTTTTAAAATTTTATTTATTTATTTATTTATTTATTTATTTGTGTGTGTGTGTGTGTGTGTGGCCAACTCAGCCCACAGGGGGCGGGGCTGGCTGGCATGTGGTGCTGGGGGATTGAACTGCGGTCCTTGTGCTTTGCTAAGCTTGTTCTAAGTAGGTGCTTTTAGACCACTGAGCCATCTCACCAGCCCCCCAGCCTTTCTTATTATTTAACTTTGAAAGAAGTCTTGCTAAATTGCTTAGGCTGGCCTTGAGTGTGTAGTCTTCCTTTAGCTGGGACTGTAGGCATGTATCACCACTCCTGGCACTTTCCAGTATTTTGTCTTGTGAGCCTTAGGTTTGTCGTCCACATGGTTCTGATTTAGGAAGCAGGATGGGGGATGGGACACAGAGGAGGGTCATGTGCCAGGCAGCTCTAGAGCTCTTCCTTGCTGCTTCTGTAGCACTTTAATTTCCCTCCTCTCAGCCAGAATGTTGAGCGCCAAGAGAGGCTGGGGAATGTTGATTGTTATTCTGGGACCGTGTTTCAAGCCTCAGATCTTCAGATCTGTTCCAGTGAGGTAGGAGAGAATGGTACTGCGGCTCAGCCAGCTGTCTCTGCACTGGTGGTTTTGTGGTTGCACTGACCTGTGAGGCTCATGTCAGAACAAGTGTTGGGCTGTCTTTCACAGAGCTGTGTTGCCCTTTTCAGGAATGGACAACCAGACGGTTCTTGCTGTTCAGTCATTGCTGGATGGCCAAGGAGCAGTTCCTGACCCATCAGGCCAGGGCGTCGCTGCGCCCCCTGCCATCCAGCCACTGGGTGAGTACCTGTGCTGCTCATCAGCGGAGGGTAATGACTCAATTAAAAGTGAATATCAGGGCAGGCTGCCTTCAACTTGCTATGTAAACCAGGCTGGCCTGGAACTCACAACAATCCTCTTGACTTAGCCTCCTAAATGCTAGGATTACAGGCATGAGCGACTATGCCCACTTGGCAATTAGACATTTCTGCTAAAATTGATTTGTTTTTCTTTAACACAGGGTCTCACTATATTTGACAGGATGATTTTGAGCTCATGAGCTCAAGAGATCCTCTTACCTCAGCATCCAAAATAGCTGTAGTTGTAAGCATGCACTGCCGTACCTGACTTTTACAACATATTTTGTCTTTTTGCTTGTTTTGCACTGCTGAGGATGGAATCAGAGCCTTGATTATCCTTGGCAAAGTTATACCCCTGCAACATTGTGTGTGTGGTTTTTGTTCCTGATGGGGTCTCACTATGCAGTTCAGGCTGGCCTTGGACTCATTATGTAGGCCAGGCTAGCCTCAAACTCACAATGACCCTTCTGTTTCAGTCTCTGGAGTGCTGAGATTACAGGCATGCACTACAAGTCCATTTTACAATGTGTTTTAAGGGCTTGAATCAGTACATGACTGTGTTAGACTTTTCATAATAATTAGTGGTGGGTATTAGCTTATTTAGTTACTCAATTAGCTTTTTATTTATTTAACAAGCATCCATTGTGGACTTTCCAGTGGCCCAGGAGATATCGTCTATAGAGATAAATAGAGCTCATTTTCTGGGCTGGGGAGATAGCTCAGCAATCTGAGCTCCTGCCTGGCAAGCACAAGGATCTGGGTTCAATCCCAGATACCACATGTTGTATCAGCCCCCAGAAGCTGTGCTGGCCACTGAAACTGGGCATGGTGGCACATGCCTGTAATCCCAACACCGGGGAGGCTGAGACAGGAGGATCACTATTAGTCTGAGCTGAGTAGTGAGACCCTGTACCAAATTAAAAAAAAAAAAAAAAAAGACTCACTTTCTTTTTTTTAGGGGACTCATAGTCTGATAGATAAGAGAACAGTGATTTGAAAGGCGCGTCCTAAAGAAGGAGTCTTGGCTAGTGGCTTTAGAAAGGCTTCCTGGAGGGGGTGAGCCTTTTAGGATGAACTGGCCTGTGAGGGGCATCCAGGGAGGGGCACAAGTGATGGCTTGGTCCATTTGGAGACTGGGGAGTAATTTCAGGCAGGATAAAGATTCTGAATTTTGCCAGGAGTGATGGCGCATGCCTGCAGTCCCAGCATTTGGGAGTCTGAGGCAGGAAGATCGCCTTGAGATTGAGGCCAGCCCCGGCTACATAGTGAGCTCAAAGCCCACCTGAATTGTAAAGTGAGGAAAACAAAAAAGGATTCTGAGTTTCTCAACTCAGGAGCAAACCCACTTTGTTTATTCCTGACTTCTGATTACCTGATACCTGGCTGCATATGTCTGGCTTTTCTTGCAAGTGCCTGTGTGACTTTGGAAACTCCTAGGAAGCACTTGGGGGATGTTTGACACATGCATGATAAGTCATAGAATGTTGTCCAGATGTGATTTTTGTGGTCAGCCACAATCTCCTCCTTTCTCCACTGTTCTGTCCCTTGACTTTTTTGTCACTGTCTCCTCCTCCCTCCTTGCCATTCTGCGGCTATGGCCCCTAGATGATGAGGATGTCTTCCTCTGCGGGAAGTGTAAGAAGCAGTTCAACTCGCTACCTGCCTTCATGACTCACAAGCGGGAACAGTGCCAGGGCAATGCCTCTGCCCTGGCCACGGTCTCCCTGGCCCCTAGCAGCATCTACACACCTTCAGCAGCACCTGCCTCGGTCCAGCAGGCCCCACCTCCTGCCAACCGCCAGGTATTCATTCATTCATTCATTCATTCATGTATGCATGCATTCATTTGATTGTTTATTTGTTCATTCATGCAGCAGTATTTTTGAACTCCTACTGTGTGTCTAGGCTGTGGGTCCTACTGTGGGTCCTGGAGATACAGTGGGGGACTAGGTAGACCAAATCACTGCCTGATGGCGTTGGATGAGATATATGCAGACATAAGTGTAAAAATATACTTTTTTCCAGCATGTTAAATGTAGAAAGATAGGGAATACCAAGCTGGGAGTGGGTGGTTTTTACATGTGTGTACGGTGCCTGGGGAAGAGTTCTAGGAGGGGGTGACCATTGGAGCAGAGATCCAGGGAGCTGAGAGAATGAGTCATTTGACTGGTCTGGGAAAGAATGTTCCAGGTGGAGAAAGCAGAGTTACAAAGATCCTGGGGCAGAGCACTGGAAGAGTGGAAGCAGGAGCAGGGACGAGTGGCTGGGATGAGTGAGTAAGGAGATGATACAGACAGGCCGCAGAAGGGGCTGGGAATCCTGTAGGCCCTGTGGGCACTCCTTTGGAGAGAAATGGGAGCTGATAGAGGGTTTTGTGCAGAAGCAGTCCTAGTCTGACACCTCACCTACATCTCTGGCTTCTGTACAGAGAATGCCTTTAGATGGGGGCAAGAAAGAGTAAGGCAGGAGACCCATCTGGGGGGCTGCTGCACAAATGCAAGCCATGGAGAGTGGTGACGTGAGCCAGGTGGAGGGAGCGAGAAGGAGTGAGACTTTAGAAATATCTTGAAGGTTGTGACAGGGTTCACGAGTTGATTGGATGAGGAGTGTAACATTAAGAGGAATCATGGGTGGTCCGACGTGGAGTTACTATCATCAGAAGTGGGGAGGCTGTGAAGAGAAGGGTTGGACTCCTAAGAGTGCAGCTGGATGTGTGCAGAGTCTTTTTTTAGCCAGGGTCTCAGGATATGGTTCAGGCTGGCCTTAAACTCACTAGGTAGCCTGGGCTCAAGTCAATCCCCCTGTCTCAGCCTCCCAAGTGCAGGTGTTGGCAAGCATGTGCCACCACACCAGGTGGACATGTGGAACTTGAGGTGCCCTGGGACCTTGAGGTAGAGGCAGAGATGAAGTAGATAGCATAGACCTCCTCTAAGTCCAGAGATGGGGGTTATGTAGGCTGGAGGTGTCTAGAGAAGCCCCAGGAGTCCTTAGTCTAGAACATAGATCTGGATCAAGGATCCCCTGGGTCAGGGCTCTTGATGAGATGAAAAACTCATTAAGGAGGCCGGAAATGTAGGATGAGGGGCAAGGGGTCTCTGCTTCTGTCCCTATTCCTTTAGAATATTATCTTCACCCATTGTATAGACACCATTTATGTCCTCATAATAAAAGCATTCACCCACCTGGGCATGGCGGCATATACCTATAATCCCAGTGCTCCCAAGGAGATAACTGAGTGGCCTAAGTGCCTGCCTGGCAAGTACAAGGACTGGGTTTGATGCCCAGCACCACATTGCTATGGCGGCCCAGCCTCTGAGCTGCAGTGTGAGACCCTGTACCCAGTGCTCTGGGAGGCTGAGGCAGGAGAATCACAAATTGGAGCCCAGCCTGGGCAGCCTGTGTCAAAATAAGAAATAAAAAAGGGGTTGGGTATGTAGCAGGATGTGAAGGCCTTGGTTTAATCCCTATAACAAGAAAGAAAAAGAAAGAAAGAAAGAAAGAAAGAAAGAAAGAAAGAAAGAAAGAAAGAAAGAGGAAGGGAAGGGAAGGGAAGGGAAGGAAGACAGGCAGGTAGGCATTCATCTCAGTCCCACAGGACATAATGACTACAACTTCTCCAGCCCTCACAGACTCTTCTAGCCTAAAACACATCCTCTTTCTCTAACTCCATGATCTTGAACTTTGCTACCAGAAAATATGTCCCTCTTTCACTTTTTTTTCCATAAAAGGAGAGAGGAAAATTCCTCCAGTCCTGGGCAAGGTAATAATTTTAGAACACAGGCAGTCAAGTATAGGCAGACACAAGCCCCACTGCCTAAGTGAGCTGGATGGACATGGGTGTGATTTCATTTTTTTAAGTCTCATCCTAACTCTTCTGACGTTGTAAGTATAAAAGTGAGTAGGAGCCAGGCATGGTGGTGCACACCTATAATCCCAGCACTCCAGAGGCCAAGGCAGGAGAATCGGCAGGAAAATCACTGCCAGTTCAAGGCCAGCCTGAGCTATAGAGTGAGACCCTGGAATTGATGCTGCCATTCTTGTCTGCGGTGTGAGGTGTCCCCTCAACCTGCCTTTGATGAAGGCAGAGATGTCCCATCCCTGAGCAGGGTCTCTGGGCTCTGGGACCAAATTGCTTCTGTCCCTGAAGGTTTCAGAGACACGGGAAATAGGAAGAAAGGGTCTTTAATCTGCTGAGCTATCTGGCCGGCCCAATTATTATTATTTCTGTTGTACCCAGAGTCATCACACTGAGCTACAGCTCTTTTTTATTTTGAGACAGGGTCTCACTAAATTGCCAGGTTGAGTTGAATTCGTAATCCTTCTGCCTCAGCCTCCCAAAGCGCTGAGATTGCACGTGTGCTCCACCATGCCTAGCTCTGATATTATTTTTCTTAATTTGTACACTTACCAATAACACAAGCTTCCCTTCTGTTTTTATCTTTTTGAGACAGGGTCTTGCTATGCAGTTCAGGCTGCCTTTGAGCTCACTTTGTAGCCCAGGCGGGCTTAGAATTTGCAGCAATCCTCAGCCTCCTGAGTTCTGGGATTATGAGTGTGCCCCACCACGCCTAGTCCCTTCTGGTTTTTTAAAAGTTAGAATATTACAAATTAAGGCTTCTTTGGTGTTGTTTCTCTCCCCTGCCCCTAAGTAATTGTGGATGGATATCCTTTAATGAGATATTTTGAAATATTTACTTAAATGGCTTCAAGAATTACACAGTTCAGGGGCTGGTGAGATGGCTCAGTGGTCTAAAGCACCTATTTGAACAAGCTTAGCTAAAGCAAAGGGACCATGGTTCAATCCCCCAGCACCACATGCCAGCCAGCCGCGCTCTCTGGTGGGCTGAGCTGGACACACACACACACACACACACACACACACACACACATAAATAATTTAAAAAAAAAAAGAATTACACAGTTTAGTTAGTTAGTTTATTTATTTATTTTTGTACCAGGAATCAAATTCAGGACCTTGCGCTTGCCAGGCAGGTGACATGCTGCTGAGCTATATCCCTGCCTTTGCTTTTTAATTTTTTACTCATTTATTTTCTTATCCATTGAGGCATTTTATTTGTATATGTGTTTACACCTTTAGTGAAAGAACCCCAGGATTTTACCTGCCGTGTATTTTCCTCTTGTTTCTTTGTGGTCCGTAATGCCACCAGAGGTTGTCAGTACAGTGAAACCAAACTGACAGGTTGGAAGCGGATTGTTCTGGGGTCTTTCTGGGACTCGCAGCGGTGCATCAGACCCAGGCTAACCTCTCCATCCTCGTGTAACCTGCGTGTGAGGCTCCCAACCATCTTTCCAGCCCTGTGGTCATCTGTGATTTCAAATTCACCAATGTGACTGCACTTCATTAGCACATTAAAAGAAGCCAGGTGGCCTGAGGAAGACTTGGCCTCGCGCTCTGTCAGCCTTGGCGGTGCTCTGGAGCCCGCCAGCCAGATCGTTCATGTGCATCATTATTGTGGCATGGAAAGATGGAGAAAAGAGTTAGTTTTTTTTAAAAAAAAGAAGACTGCATACTCTACATATTATGCTGTTTGACTTTTCCTGCCATGTGGTATTTTGTTTAATGATTCTATTACGTTATCTTTAATGCATTTCCCTGTTGATTGACGCTTAGGTTGTTTACAGTTTTTCACTGTTAGGAACAAGGCTGTATGGAGTCATCTTATTTGTGGGCTTCCTGTAGACATGTGTGAGTGTTTTCCTCGAATAGAAACCAGGGGTGTCTTTCAGAGAAGTGTGACTTGGTAGATGATTCAGTGGAAGCTCAGAGAGGTGAAGTGACTTGCCCAGGGTCACACAGCACAGAGCATGGGAGGTGGAAACTTCAGAACCTAGGTCTTCCACGCCATCCCTCAGCTTCCTCAGAGTCTCAAGTGTCCAGATCTCCTGTCTCCCTGTCTCCCTGTCCAGATTTCCACATATATCACAGTACCCCCATCCCCACTGATCCAGACCCTGGTGCAGGGGAACATCCTGGTGAGCGACGACGTGCTCATGTCCGCCATGTCGGCCTTCACGTCCCTGGACCAGCCCATGTCCCAGGTGCCCCCGCCTGTGCAGGTAAGGAGGCCACGGCCTTCCTATAGGAAGACCATAGGGTCTTTTCTGCTTTCTTTCTTTGGCGGGATTGGAGGTCCATTGCAGGGCTTTGTGTGTGCTCCGTAAGACGCTCAGAGTCTTGGTTCCAGGCTTCCGTAGTAATGGCTGCAGATCCAGGATCTTGTAGAAAAGAGGGGACTAGGATACAACTCAGGAGCACAGTGCCTACCTAGCAAGTACAAGGTCCTGAGTTTGATTCCCAATTTAAAAAAAAGAAAAAAAGAAAGAAAAGAAAAGAAAAAGAAAAATGAGGGGCCGGGGAGATGGCTCAGTGGAATAAGTGCTTCCATGGTAAGCGCAAGGGCCTGAGTTCAATCTCCGGTTCCAAAAAAAAAAAAAAAAAAAAGAAGGGCTCAACTACAGCTGCCCTGTGAAGAGGGTGACTATGAACCTTGCCTTTGGCCAGCCCTGCTGCATCGAAGAGGCTGCCACACATAAGCAGGGTTTCATAGCCACAGTTCAGCTGTTTTGACTCCTGTTTTTATTTTATTTTATTTTATTTTGTACTAGGGATCAAACTCAGGACCTTGTGCTTGCCAGGCAAGTGCTTATTCCGCTGAGCTATCTCCTCTGTCTTTTATTCTTAACAGTGTCCCAGGTCCATTAGAAAATACATAGTGGCTCCTCGGGACTCTCTAAGGCACATAGGCAAGGGGAGGAGGTGTTCACCATCAACCACACTGTGGTGTGGGCAGTGCCCCTGGGGGCTGAAATGTGGAGGACCACCTGGGCGACTCCTTGAAAGAAGAGCAGTTGTCTCTGTTTTGGCTGAGCCTGGCCCTATTTCCATGTATTGATAGGTACAGAGCTGGCGAGGGCTTTTCCTTATCCCTTCAATTGGCTTTAAGCAATGCATATCAGTCTGAGGTGTGGTGGTAGTCTTTAAAGATGGCATGCGTGTTTTCCCGGATCCGCCACCTGCTGCTCCCAAGTGTGAGCCAGGTTGAGACAACATGAAGAGCCAGTGCTCCACACTGTCAGCTGGGACTGAGCCTCAAGATAGAGGCTATGACTTCCTGGGCTTGAAAGATTATGCATCAGACCTCAAAACATTAGATACTGTCTCAGTTGTGTGATGCCAGTTATTCTCTGCGTATCCTCTCTCTGCATATCACAGAGGAGAATGCAGGCTTCCTACCTAACCCAGCTCATGGTACTAACCTACTTCCTGCTATTCTCAGTCATTCATTCTCAAGTCACTCCTCCTTCATGACTGAATAAAACCCACGTTTAGCCTTGGGTCAAGCCCTTTGTTCCAGATAGCCATCACCAAAAAAAAAAAAAAAAAAATCCTTCTCAACTTTTAGGGGCTTGTGGGTTAGCTCAGTTGTTTAAGTGCCTGCTTATGCAAATGCAGTCAGGCACAGGGGACCACAGTTCGATCCCCAGCTCCACATACCTTGCCAGACCTGCCCTTAAGGCAGCCTGAGCTAGCCAAAAAAAAAAAAATCCTTCCCAGATAGCCAGCCATCACCATGGCTGGACTAGGACCCCTGGGCTCCCCATAACTATAAATATGCTTTAGTATCTTTATTCTCACTGTGGGTTGCACTGGAAGTGGTAGATTAAAATTAACCTAATGAGATTCCAATAGCTCACCCATGGGATTACAAATATAAACTTCCCGGACTGAGACAAGGACTGGGAAGGGTTCCCTATGGTGAAACAACCTTACTATCCAAGGAAATGTTCAAAGCTGTGTTTTCAGATGCCAGTCAAGAGCCAGTCCTATAAATGAGCCCTCTTGGGATGGCAGCATCAGGCCCTCTCTCTTAACCCCTCTCTGCCTGAGTTGGGCCAGTTTTGCAGATGTTCATGGAGAAGAAGCCAGCTCCTCTCAGTTCTCCTGTGGCTATTCCTCTATGGCTGTCAGTCCTGTCCTCTGAGGTGCCCTGGGAGTAGCTGTCCTGTCCCTGTGCTGGCTAAAACAGGAAGTCCTTCCCCACTGATGAACAAGACAGCTGATAGCTAGAGGCCCTAATGCTTTAATTCTCTCTTGTGATTTCAGAGCACCCTGAACATGCATTCTGTACCCAGCTACCTCACCCAGCCCCCGCCGCCTCCGCCACCCCCACCACCCCTGCCTCCGCCCCCACCTCCCCAGCCTCCTCCCCCTCCCCCTCAGAGCCTGGGCCCCACCGGCCGCCCTAACCCTGGTGGGAGTGGTGTGGTGGAAGTGTACAGTGCCAATGCGCCCCTGGCTGGGAGTGGAACAGTGGAGATCCAGGCACTGGGAATGCAGCCATACCAGCCCCTGGAGGTGAGTGGCAGCGGTATGCCAGGCACTGTGCTGGGGACACCATGGGGAGCAAAACCAGATACACGCCCAGATCATGTGGAACATGTTGTGTTGTGTGAAAAAAGGACTGTAGTCAAAGCATCACATCTCCAGGTGCACAGTGCACACACCACAGGAAGGTAGGATGATGTTGTACCCTGTCAAAATTGACCCCATTTTGTTGCTCTTCTAACCTCGCCGAGCTCCTGTTCTGTATGCGCCGACCCCTCCCAATTCCTGACCCCTGTGACTCAAGTCTTATGATATCTGTTCCCTAAACCTTATCTCAATGAACTATTCCTCCCAATTCCTCATCCCTGTGACTGTTCCTCTCCACCCCTTCCCTGTTTTTGTGGTTTTCAAGCTTAAATACTGATCCTTGTCAATGCTCGGGGCGCACTTAGACACTTTGTGCTGGGTGTTGCCGCTGGGTACCAGCTAAAATAAAGCGCTTCTTTTAACTTTTGGGCTTGCCTCGTTGTCATCTGATTTTTGAGTTACAACAGATGACAGGGAGGTTGTAGCGGGAATCCAAGCTGCCCTTAGGCCAACGTCAGAACCCTCAGGGAATGTCTGCTTTTGGGGAGAGGATTCCTTAAGATTCTCAGCATAGGGAATGGGAATGCAACTCGGCAGTAGAGTGCTTTCCTAGCATGCACAGTCCCTGAGTGCAATCCCCAGTACCACCTACACCACATACACAGATTATCTGCGTAGATATCTCTGACATTCCTTAACGAGTTAGGTGTACCAGTTAGCTATTGCTGTGTAACCGCTATCCGCAAGACGTCAGTGGTAATAACAAAGAGTTTATCGTATATATGCTTGTAGTGGCTGGCTAGGTGCCACTGCTGATCTTTTTTTTTTTTTTTTTTTTTTTTTTTTCAGAACCGGGGATTG